TAATTTCTGAGTGTTTACAACTCTGGTTAATTATATTATACTAATATAGCGTCCTGAATGTTTTGTGGTGGCATGGACTTAATAAATGTGATTATTAATCAGAAGTTTAACAAGTAACAGCTTCAGACTTTGTCCCCAGGAAAAAATGTGTTTCTGTAACCCAACTTATTAAATTAAGGTAATGCATTTGTGGCTGGATTTTTAGTATCTATATCTATATTTATCTATCTGTCCATCTCATCTGGCTTCAATATCACTGAACTGTAGGGATGATCAAAAGCAAAATGAGAATGCTGAAGCTAGGGTCTTGTTTGAAATGCTGTCTTTCCAGGCTGATATTTTTCCAGTCATTCTGCCAGCAGTCTCAAGTCTGCATCGTCTATTTAAATTGTCATCTCGTCTAAGTGCAAATCTTGGCCCAAGCCAAGGCCATCTGTTGTTGGGTAATAGTTGTGATTTATTCTGCCTCTGCTTGACATTCATGCTCATGGGCCAGATGCTGACTTGCAAGATTTGCTTTTATTCATTTTCAGTTTTATACCATGTGTTAATATCATAAGCAGCATTTTAATTTTAGATTTTTTTGTCTAGTGTTTAAAATTAGGGATGAGTAATAGCATCACACACCCCTTTGGGATGCAATTCAGCATACTTCAGAACGAGATAGGACAGGAGAAAATATTTTACATTTTAGAAATGCATTCAAACAATGTTTCTAAATGGCTAATTTCTTCCTAATCACTGATCCATATACTCATTTATGTTGCATATAAATAATTAGGTGTTGCTTTCAAATAAAAGTTGTAGACTATTTGAAGACTTTTGGGCTCGAGAATGTTGTAGGTAGCTAAACTGTAGGCAAAATATCTATGATACTCTGCAGCATACCTGCTGGTACCTTTGCCTTCAATGTAGAATGAGGGTGATTATGAAACTTTGCAAGTTAGGACTGATTGTCAGAGGGACACTCCTGCATATAAAAGATAAAGATTATTAGGGAGATGGATAAATTTCCCTAATTCCAGGTTTTAAAAAATGGCTCTTTGTAGTAGAGATGGGCAGTATCCAACTTCCAGACAATCTGTGCATTAGCTCCTGGTAGCAGTTTGAACTTACAGCTGACTGGCTTTTTATATGTCTGTCTTCTCCAAAGTTGGTGTTGAAACACTGAGTAGCTGTGCAGCAACTCCAAAGTGTGTTTGGATACACAGATGCAAATGGAAATTACTTCATGGTCTCACTATCTGCTGTGGGAGCAGAAGGCTCTGGGTCTTCCTTCTCACACTGTTCAAACTGCTCCAGTAAAACAGAGGAGTAGCAGGTGAATTGATACATGAACATATTACTTCGCTGTGTAGTTTTAGGAGGCATTTCAGAGTCTGGAAACTAAGGGGGAGTTAATTTTAATGTCCTGGGTAACAGAGAGGCTTCATTGAAAATGGTTCCCTATGCAACTTGTTTCAGATCCAGTGAGTTGATCTTGTTGGGTTGTGTTTGGAGGGATTGCTAGTAACAGTGCATATATAATAGGTATCAAATTTTTTATCGTATCAGTTTCTGTCTCTAACAGGATTTTGTGTGGCTGAGCAGGATGTGTTGGGCCTGCCATGATTTGTGTAAAATAAGTTCATTTCATTAGGTTAGATTGAATTATAATATTGGCATTTTATATGTCTTCCTTCTTACATTCCTTTGATTTTGAGTGACTGTAATTGTGATCTAGAAAACAATGCTCCTTTTGTTTCTCTGAGTCAGGGAAAGAAGACTGTCTGGGTGGGATTCATTTAATACAGCTTCAGGTGTTTGCATGTTGGCTGACCAGTCTGAAGCTCTGGAGCTCCTGTCGTCTCCAATGCTATCTTAGTGTAGAGTGAAATACCTGCTGGAGTTGCCCACTTCAATTGACTGATCTACCAGAAAATGACTTGGTGTTTTTGTCTTAAGCCAGAATTATGAGGAAAGAGAGCAGATAGTGGTGAACTACTCATTTCTTCCTTGCAGCTCTTGAAACATCATTCACAGAAGTCTAAAATTAGTTGTGATTAAATCTAACTCCTGGTATTTAAAAAAAAAAGACTTCTAGGTGAGGTGGAACTCAGAAAGGTGAATTTTACAACTCATTTTCAATGCAAGGTTTAGAATAAAGTATTGTTTTCCAGCAGATCAGTTTGGTGGAATCTGAACGTGCCCAGCAGCATTAGCGCATAGTTTGGCTGAGTTGTAGTCATGGAAATGAAATTTGTTAACTGCAGAGTCAGTCTGAGCCAAGTCTTTGAATTTAACCATGATGGAGGAGATGCAAAGCTTGTAAAGGCCAAGTCTGAGGTGTTTGCACTGCCTCTGTAGTTACCATAGGACTCTCCTGAGAAGTTGGTAGTGCCAGTGTCTGTCTGTCCTGTGGACTGCAAAAAGAGAATCATAGGATCATCGAAATGGGTAGAGAAAACCTCTGGTGGTGCCTAGCCCAACCTTCTCCTTGAAGTGGAACTGTTGCCGACGGTAGATAAGGGCAGCCATGGCTTTGTATAGCTGTGTCTTGGAAACCTCCAAGGACAGAGATCTCCTAGCGCTCTGCTGACCTGTTCCAGGATTGCACCACGCTCTGGGTGAAAACCTGTTTCTGAATGTCCAACCTGAACCTCCCATGGTGCAGCCAAGAAGGTGATGATACAGGAGGTACCTGAGGAATTTTCCTTATTTTGTTGCTATCCAGAAATTTGGCATTTCTGTCATAACACTGCTGTTTATTTCTATAGAGGTACTCTGATTGTAAAGTCTTTGTGATAGTTCTTAACACATTTTTTATATACAGTAAATAAAGGTGCCATTATAAGCAAAACTAAACCAAGCATCAATTAATGTACCAATCTTCAGATATGTTAGCAAAAATAGTAGTTACTTGTAATGATTCACAGCTGATCATCTATGCAGTACTTGTGTTTTGCTAGGTAATGATGTTGTGGACTTTCAGAAGCATTAAAAAAGAAAAAAAACAGGATAAGCATTTTTTAAGCGATGTTAAAAATAGTTGTCAAATCATGACAGGGGCATTGTTACAAAATGTGGTTTTAATGGACATCTTATCTTTGGCCTGTTCCCTTGGGAACATTGAATTTCAAGAACAGTTTTTCTGTAAAGTTCATTGTCTTACTGAGTGTTGTCTTAATCTCAGTGGTTCAAAAATGAAATGGGAATTACATATGTAGTCTGAGAATTATATCAGAGTGGTTTTATAATTTTGGTACCAAGATGTTTTTAATTACAGTCATTTATTGAAGTAATGTTTTCTTCTCATGGTCAGTCATTTGGGTTTTTGGGGAATTTTTTGGTGGGAAAAAAAAGAGAGTGATATTTCTGCAATGTATCTACAGAATATCTTAATATATTTAACACCTAACTTTGTGTGTAACTCAGTTCCCTGATCTTAGACATAACAATGTAGTGTTTAGATACTAAAATGGGGAAAATACAGTTACCGTGACATTAACAACTGTGTCCTGAAGAAAGTCCAATTCAGTCTGCCAAAAAGATAACCTTGGCCAAAAGCATAGGGTATTTGTGTGTCTGTTCTTACCCTTAATCAGGGAGCTGAAGAGCTGCTTGAAAAGTTTCTGAGTGCCGGGTTTGTAAAATACAGTGGGAGTTTTACAAAAGGGAAAGCATGAAATGAGATGAGAGCATCAAATTTGTTTCTGCTTTTTAACCGTGTGAGATAGATGTCTGGATCTTGAAAAGTGAAAGGCAGATGTTTGGATCTGGTTTTAGGACAGTTGCAAAAACTTCTTAACAAGTTGGTCTCCACGAGTGTGACGTGGTGGCACCTGCTGGCTTTTGTTCTTCTCGGACACTGGGAGTGAATTTGGCATTGCTGGGATTGGGAGGGGGGCAAACACAGGGGCTGGGAAAATAAACCTTTCCATTAATTCTTTGGGGCCTGTAGAAGATACTTAGTGATTGGCAGGTTTTTGTTTCACTTAGAGCCTGAGTTAGAAATTTAAACTCAATTTGTCAATTATGTAAACACAGTCTTTTGCTCCTCATTACTAAGAGAGAGCAAATATACTTCCCTGACAATGCCCACTGTGTACTGAGATGGTGCAGTGAAGGAAGCTTCTGTCAGGGAAACTAAGCTTTGAAAGGCATGGGAAGCTTCCCTTGGCCTTAGTGGTCTTTCTTTGGTCCATCAAGATCAGCATAGTACAACAGTATGGGAGGTACCTGGACTGGTGCTTTATATTCTGTTACTTCTGTTGATAAGGGAGGAACTGTATTTTCCCAGGCTGCAAGTTGAGCAATTTGAGTTCAGCAACAGCACAAAAACTGAAGAAAGGCTGCGTTTTGCCTTGCAGGTCAGGTCCATATTCAGAGCGTGTCCTGCAGATGCAGCTTCCACTGCTAAAACCCAGGGTAGTTAGTTTGAGCACTGCTGTCTTGCAGCAGGACCCAGCCACCTCACAGCTGAGATAAGCTACTAAAGCACAGCTTTGGCATCAAACTTCCCTGGTAGGTTTTGTCGCAGAGCTCATATTTCACACCCCGTCACAACCCTGACTGATACAGCCCTACTGCACGAGGCATGCGATGTAGAGCTAGGCATAGATATAGCAAGATGCCATTTATATATAAAGCAGACAGCACTGCAAGTAAAGGCTCCAATTCAGCAAAGCCCTTAACCACATGTTTAAATATCATTGAAGTCAAGTTAAATTACTTTAATCATATACATAAGTACTCTGTTGAACAAGGGCCTAATAGTAGTTTCCATCTCTTTCCACATGATCAAGGCTTTTTCATATTCTGCTGCATGCGATAGGGATTTCTTCTCAGTTACACAGCATGAGCAATTGCTGTGACTTTTGGAAGACTCCCTCAACAATTTGAATTTGCTAAGCTGTCATAAATAGTTTTATGTGGAATGCCTGTAAGACAGAATGGAAAGGAATGTTCCCAGCTCGGTACTTCCAGGGTAGATTTAACACATCTTTTCCCCTATTTTCCAGGACCACCTGTTACTGCCAGCCACCACACATAACAAGACCAGAAGACCAAAGATGTCTATAGTGTTGCCAGCTGTAAACATCAATGGTAAGTCCAAAACATGAAAGAGAATGATAGGAGAATAATTTCAAAGGGATGGGTTGTACGTGGAAACCGAACTTAGACCAAATGTCTGTCATTATAGCTTTGAAAAAGAAGTCAAACTGGTCATTACTGGGCCATAGTTGCCAGGCTCCCTGCTGGAGCTTGGGTGCTGGCAAATCACTGGTGCTTGGTCACTGAGACTGTAACGAGAGGCTGCGTGACTTGGCCAGCAGCTCTGCAGTATCTCATTCTAGCTCCTTCAGGGACTCAGGGGTATTGCCATTCAGTCCCGGTGATTTAAACACAGCTGATTAAGGGTTACTTGAATGTGATCTAGCTTCTCTAACTTGGTGGCTACAAAGATCCCATTGAGTGTGGAGGCTGTCCTCATCCTCTCATTTGGGTTCCTCCTACGCCTGCTTAGCAGCACAAATTCCTTGGCCTTACTGGTTTGTTAGGATGCTGACTGCCTTCCATCGGCTTCCTCAGCTGTTTACCACTCTGTTACACAACACTCAGTGTGAGTGGGACCTCTCAGCACTGCACGGTCAGGATTAATAATAATCATGTTACAGTGCTGCAGGACAGCAGAGAAAACAGCTTTGCGCAGAGGGCACAGTCTTATTACTGAACAGAAATGTTCTTGATCTCCATTTTAGTCCCACATGAGAGACAGGACATGAATTGTATAAATATATTGTTAATTCATATGGTGAGGAACTGCCAAGTTGGGACATGTTTGGGGCACAGAGTCACTGTCACAGTCATAAAACGCATCGTGAACCCTGTAACAGTATAAACTTTACTTTCTGAATATCTGTGTACCGTAATGCGCTATCTTAGGGGAATTTTTATTAGATATATCAGAATTATTTTTGGCATTTATCTGTTTGAAACTCCCTTTTCATGTCCATTACAAAAATCCTTTTCTGGCTGAGCTGAATTATCACATGCAACTGGGCACTTTATCACTTGGAGAACAAACTATTTCTAAATTACAAAGTATTTCTTCTTAACATGTTATGAGTCTTGTTTTACTTGAAATAACTTTGTTGGGGTAAATATAATTTGGAAAATACGCATCAGAATCCAGTGACAAATCTTATCCTTCATTAATAATGAAACATTGTGAAATTATAGTTACTTGAGTTCTTTGGGATTTTTCTTCAGAACATCAGCATAATCCAGGAAATAAAAAAATGTCCAGGGATTTGGGCAGAGATGTTGAAACAGATGAGACACAAGGATAGCATTAAGTAAACAACGGCATCAAACATCGCTTCCTTTGTGACACTCAGCCAGGTGTTAGGGAAAAAATTACAAGATACACAAGAGCCAGTAGGTAACTTGGCTTGATTTTTAATTTGATTATTAGTAGATTACCTGGAGGAGACAATTCCCTAAAAAGTTCTGCCTGGAGAAGAACCTATTTCTCTCCTTTGAGAACATTGCTCCTCCACCCTATTCTGCCTCCGCGGGGACTGAGCACGTCCTGAACAAGCATCTGGAAGCTAGCTGACAAGAAAGCTTTCCTCCCAGCTGTCTGCTGTTCTTTTAAGCCCACCTTAATTCTTTGTCCACCTGCAGAGAACTGGCTGCTAGAAGAGGCAGGGTCTCCCTGGGAGGAATTGGCAAAAGCTTCAGTGCAAGAACTTGACCCCTCCTGCCTTTTCTCGTGCCTCAGCCAGATCTCTGTGGAAGAAGGGAAACCTTTTCCACTGCCACTTACTTGCCCTTCCTTTTTGCTGCCACAACGCTGGCAGAGGAGATGAAGGGAATGCAAGTGAAGTGGCCTTTGCTTTGAAACTTTTTCGGAACTTCTTCACTTGCCTTCTTCTGCAGGATCTTTATTTGTCTGTGTACTGAAATTTTACCCATGACACTGTTTCCAAACATGAAACAGCTTGCAGTTCAGTTGAGAACCCTTTAAACTATTGGACAGTCTTTTCCCAGCAGGACTGTCATCCTTTTCTGAATGCACTTTGATTGCTTGAGTGCCTTCTGAGCTCTGCTAGAGACTCTGCCTTTAGCTGGCTTGAGCCCTTCCCACCATCGGCTGCAGGGACAGAGAACAGGTATGGACAAAGTTTAGGAAGTAAAATGAGTTCAGTCACTCTCCTACATGACTCTGCATGGAGGTTAATGACATGGTTCTGCAAGACTGGTCTGGCAGTTTTCACCAGTGTACAAAGCAGAGTTTTTCTTGGAGGGAAGAGTTGGGGTAAATCCGGCCAGTGGCAGTCCTAGTGCTCTGCAGCGAATGGCTAATCTCAATAGAAAATTTTGTAGTAGATGGGTGCGTGTATGTGCACATGTGTGCATTCAATACAATGGAAGTTTAAGAGAACAATAACAGTACGTTACTCATTTTCAAGATAAAAACTTGATAAAAACTATTCAGTTGTTGAATGTTGGAAAAGAGTAAAAATGGCCATTACCTTGTAACTTTCTCCTATGTGCTCCTTTTCCTGGTTAGCCTGAATTGCCCATGCCCCTCTGCAGGCATGAGGATAAGCCAGCAAAGTCCCCACTGAGGGCTTCTGTGCAGGTGCACAGAAATATGTTTAATTATTTAAGTATGTTTAATATTTTAACATTTTTTTTTAAAGTATAGTAACTGGTTACATGTTGGTACATGTTAATCCCTCCCCTCTTACCCTCTTACCAATTCCTTCTTCTGCACCCTGTTCTAAGCCCCTTTCCAAGCTTGCTGGGCCACCCCCCCAATTCATAGCCAGCACTTGCTGTCAGCTCCTCCATTTCTGCCTCCCCAGATGCTCTCACATCCCTTTACCATTCTCCCATATCCCTGCTCCCTGCTGTCCCTCAGTACAGCTCTCCCCTTGGCCCCTGCAGCCAGCCATGCCCACGTTTTGACCTGCCTCTGCCCAATGACAAAGCCCCACCATTTGCAGACACAAGTAGTACTCACAGAAAATCTGATGGGACCTAAGGACCTTAGGGCTGCTAAGCCTGGAGGGAAAGATGCAGAACTTGTTAGTCGTAGTCCCGCTGTACATGGTTCTGGGGGCACCATTGGTGTGGCTTTATTGAGAAGTTATTCCAAGAAGAAATATCTTGCAGTTTCTCATGGGAATGAAAGCCAACTGCAATTTACAGTTAAACTCCGGCTTTTGTTTTTAAGCAAGTCATGTTTGTTATGCTGGATTGAAGCTATTATTTTAGAAATCTAACTATGCACTTGAGACCAGTTGAGTCTCGAGTAGATTTCATTCCTAAATTTGCTTTTATTGTAATTCAGAGTCTTGTTGGCTCATTACACCAATTCCAAATTGACATATAGGCGGTGCCTTTCTTGAAGTTTAAATGAAAACATCTGCTATTAGCCTTGTATTTACTTAACTGCTGTAAAAAATGCAGTGGGTTATAACATTGATCTTTGGATCAAAATAATCTATAGAGTACAGCATAGCTAAGCCACTCTTCCTACCCCAAGCACAAGCCTTTTGTCTCTGCAGGATGCCTGCAGCTCCACAGCGCAGCACACACCACCAGTAGTCGTCTCCTTGCAGCACACAAAAGTGAGAACATATGTACAGTCATTCAGTGTAGGAGATAGCATTCAATGTTTAGCCCAAGAAGCCACTTCCATTAATGCATTTCTCCCTAGGATTACGTTAGATACTCTCACAGCTCACACTTCGTCTTGGAAGGAGCAGCTGTAAATGTCTGTGCAGGTGTGTACTGGTGGTCTTAGCAGCAGCACAAAGACCAAAAAGGCCTTTTTTCTTCTTAGGATCCCTGTGCAAAACAGTTCCCCATATGTGAAAGTCCTTCCATAATTTGCCCTCTCTAAATTCAGGGTTGGTGTCTGCACTCTCAGCCGAACAAAAGTGAGAGACCTGATGGGAAAGCCACTGGTGAGATCCGCAACTCGTTTTCTGGGATTTGGCAGCCATGGCAGAGAGAGTTTTGAATTTTGTGCAAATATTCTGGATAGGTCTTAGTCTAATGTCACACAATGGGACTTGTCTTCAGTCTGCCTTTGAGATAGTTGTTTGTGTGCCTGACTCTATAACTTGCATGTTCCTGGTTCTTAAGGAACCCTGTTCTCTTAAGGGTTGTTTTTTTCATGAAACACAACAGCAAAATAGTCTCCTAAAGGCAGAAATTTATTGTGAACGAGATGGCGAGTTTTGCAAAGTCCGTGTGCTCTGTTGTGTTGGCCAGCTTCTGATCGCTGCCACTTCCCTCAGCCTTCCTTCCTAGCATCCATCATCATACTGATGTAAGAGACTTCAAAAGTGCTCTGAAATAATACACATTCTCATTAAAATGGTCAATAACAAATCTAGTGGTAAGGCTTTTTGATCAAAACTGGAGGGATTTCTGCCATCAAGCAGCATGATTATTTGCACGCAGCTACAAAGAACGTTCTTTCAACTGACAGTCGTGTGCAAAAGCCACTCACAGATGTCCAAAGCTGGTAGCAAACTGTCTGTGAAAAATCCTTAAGGCAAACAGAACCCACACAGGCTGAGAAGGAAAATAGAAACAAAAGCTCTTTGGGAAGTGACAATGTTCTGTAAGTTCCCATGTCTTGGGGTTGAATAAATAAAGTCTCCAACTTCCTCTGCCTTTCAGGGTCAAGCAAACAAAAGATGCCATTTCCGTCTTTCGGAGCAAGAAGCAGAATTCCCAGTCAGTCATCGAATGAGGAAGGTCTAAAAAAATACCACTTACGGCAGCTGACATCCCTGAAGGTTGCTGCTTAACATTTTGGGTAGCCTCCTCTCTCACTTTGAATAGCTTCAGAACGGTTTCCAGGAGACTAATGGCTCCAGCTATCTCTAGCTGTTGTTGGTTCATTCTTCTCTTCATGTTAGAAGCCAAATCTTAGTCCCTGTGGCTCCCTCTCACAGCTGCTGTCCTTGGTCCCACACTGAGAAGCTCATGCCACTTTAGTAGGTACAGAGGACTCCTCTTTTGGCTACACAAGCATGATCTGTAGAGATACTTCTCTCATTGTTTCTGCTTTTATC